TTTTTATGCTTTGGTTGTGATTTTTTTTGTTCAAGAGTTTTACGCTAATCTCCTTAAAGTTGAAGAAGATCGGGTCATGGTTCGAGGAAAATTAATTTCTTTCTCCCCTAAGTTAATAAATTTGTTTTATCAGTTCCCCCTTGTACATTGTGTTTTTATTTAAATTACATTCTGACTGAGGAGGAGTTGGATGAGATCATATCGTCATTGACCGGTGGAAGAGGACTATGGAAGATTGCAAATGAAAGAAGAGTTAACTTCCTCACGTCAAAGTTAGATGCCACATCAAAAGTGTGGCACTACTTTATTTCTGTTTGTCTTCTACCAACCAACCACCTCAGTGAAGTTACTCGAGATAGAGCTACCTAGAGCTATTGCATTTAGCAGTTCAAGCTGATTGACATTGGATCTCTAATCTATCAAATTATCACCAATTCTGTTGTCACTGCAACTACTACAGGTTTGGGATTCACATCCTTGATCTCTTCGTTATGTGAGTAGGTAGGTGTTAGATTCAATAGCTGGGAAGAGATACTGTAGCCTCTATAGCCCATTACAAATGTTAATGTGAAGTCTTATTCACAAAACTCAAACTTTGGTTAGAGAGGAGGATTTTTCAGAAGTTCAAGTGTCTCTCAGGTGTCTCTACTTCTCATGCTTCTACCTCACGTGCATCCACACCACAAGGTCAGACTTCTAGTTCTGATTCGCAGTCACATTTATTGATAAGGATGTTAGATAACATCAATTATACAGCGAACAAAGTATTAAATTTAGAGAATTATGTAGATCATATGAATAATTATATGAGAAGACATAGTGATTATGAGGAGAAATTTCACTCATCTTTGGAAAACCTTATGAGGGGTGACCAAAGTGTAGTTTTTCCTCCATAACCACGATATCCATCATATAAGCCTACTGTCAGGTTTTGGAATAATGATGATAGTGATGATGAGGAGGAGGAGGAGGAGGAGGAGGAGGATTAAACTGAGTAGTTTATTTTGTTTTGTTGTGAATTTTATGTGGTGCACTTATACTGTATTGTTAATTTGTTTTGTGTTGCACATGTTAAGACTGCTACTATTGTATTTATTTTATTCTGTTAGACACTATTGTGATGAATTTATGTTATTGTGAGTAGTTATATTTTGTTTTTGTGGTAATAATTGTGATAACTATGTTATCTAGTGTATTTAATTAGTTTGTGTTGAACTTAATCTTGAATTTAAGAAGGTTTAAAAATTTACTAGCTTTCATTTAAGAACTTCATGTTTAAATTTTTTAATTTACTACCAGGTGTTTTCTTTATATTGCAGTTGTGAATTTCTATTAATGTGTTTGTTTTCTTTTATGTTATCCTCCACTGCATAGAAGTCTAATGAATCTCAATTTGAAAAGTTAAATTAAAATTTGATCAATTAATTTTTACTTCTGTTTTTAATTGTTGTACTTGTATGTTTAGGATATAAAAATTCATGTAAGCATGTTATTTTTAATTTTCATTCTTGACTCTATATAAATATGATGCTAAAATGTTTTATCTTATTAAAAATTTAAGTTTGGGAGGGATGAAAAATTTTCTAAAAACTTGAAGTTTATTTGTTTTCAAATGTACTACAAATAAATTTGATTTTAATTAAAATAAAATGATTATATATATGAAGTTATATTAGGGAAGAAAAATTTTGAATATAGAAATAAGTAAGAGAATTTAGTTGAAACTTATAATAATAAAGAAAAACATAAAGTTAAAACTTTTTCGCATGAAAATGATAAATATTATGTACTTATCTTTAGTAGGAGAAATTGTATTTTTGAAAAATATAGAAGTGTTAGAATTTTATTTTCAATGCTTAAATTTCTTATATTAACAATAATTTTCAAAACTTTTATTATATTTTGAAGTAAAAGATTTTTGTCAGAACTTTGCTTTATGAAAGGAGGAGTGAAAATTAAAATCATTAAGGGTCTATTTAGATATAGTAATCCTCATCCATAAAAAAAAAAGAAAAAGAAAGTTGAAAAAGGGAGAAGCTTGAGGATTAGTGCAAATTGTTTCCACATCTAATCTTTTTAAAGTATAAGACTTGAGAAACTCTTAATCTTAAGAACATAATATAGTAAGTATAATTATTCTTAATAAAAATTTTTAAGTGGAGAAGATAGAATGCTCAAACTCTATATTTAGAAAATTTACAAGTATTTCTAAACTAGATAGGAGCTCATATTTTAAGACTTATTTATATTAAAAAGTTCAAAACTCTAAGTTGATCTCATATACTAATGTTTTTTTCTAAATTAAACTACTATATTTCTAGATCAAAATTTTAGAATATCCTAAAGAAAGTCATTTACATAATCAACTTATTTTGGTTTTGAAAGATTGGAGTGTCACTTGAGGGCAAAAAATATTTTAAGTTTGGAGGATTTTGATACAGCTAAAATATATAGTCATTATGTACACATTTTTATGCTTATTTTGGAGATATTGTGTTTTAATAAAATGTATTTGTGTGTTTTTTTCTTAGGTACAATAAAATAGATGAAAAATGATTATGGGAGTGAAAAAGGATCAAATTTGGAGTAAAATGAAGAAGGCGTGCAAAAGAACTGTCGCGCCTAAGTGCCCAGACTTGGCGCTTAAGCACCAGTAAAACTGAGAAGGCCAAGCCTAAGCACCAATACCTCACGCTTAAGCACCGGAAGTAGTTACTAGATGATTCAATAAATTTGGATGAATTTTTGTAGAGGTGTTTGAAGCAACCCTTGGTAAAAACGTGGAAAATAGTTAATGGACACAAAAATACATTCAATTGGCTTTCGAAAGGAGGCAACTCTTGGAAGATTCATTGAATGTGGACACATTTTGAAGAGACACCAAGACACATTTTGAAAAATTATAAAAGAAGACTTGGATTGGATTGAAGAACTCTCTCTCTCTCTTCTCTCCTTTTTGGAGAGACTCTTAGATGCCACTTCTTAATTATTTCACCGCCCCCTTTTCTTTTCTATTTTGAGTTGTAGTTTGTATTGTAAGAGAAGAAGAGATTCAAACGAACTTCAAGAGTTTGGTGGAGAGGATTTGAGATAAGTTTTTATCTTTGTGACTACATTTGGTTTTAATTTAGACCTTTTGTTTGTTTGTATGATTTTTACTTTCAAACTTAAGTGTGGTTGTATTTTCTCCATGAATTCTGAGTAGATTTCTTTTTCTTTTTCCTTAAAATGATAAGTCATTAAGTATTGGATGGAAGTTGTGTGAAGTATTAATCTTTAATGTTTGAATAAGTTGTGATGATTTTAAACCTTATACTTCATTTACTTCTTGATTTGACCTATTAAGATGTTAATATTTGTTGCGAGAACATGTAAGATCTAAGATGGTATTATCTCAGTCAAATAATAGTAGGAATCACATGAGATTGTATGAATGAGAATGTAATTCATATGATTGAGTGCAAATAAATAGACAAAAAAACTTTGAAGGGTGTATAATTAGAGGAATTTAGAGTGACAAGCTAAAGCCCCCAATTTGATTTATAGTTTTTGGTTTGATACGAGATGCTAGCCCTCAGGTGTAGGGAGAAGAGGGAATTCTAAAGTGAGAACTAGTATCTTCCCTGCCTAGCCCGTCTTCAAGATTATTCAAACTTTAAATTAGCCAATATTTTTTATAGCATCACTAGTAAGGGTAAAGAATAACATTGCTCCTATTTGACACAACATAATTTGAATACTTCCATAACAGAATTCTTATACTTGTTATTGATTCATGATAAGAAAAAAAATATTTTATTCATATTGCCTTCATCTTACAAACAACTAGTTAAGTTTAGTTAGTTGTTTACTTTACTTTCAATTATAAAAAATTACAAAAAAGAATCAAATTTTCATTCCTATTATAACATCTAAAGTTTGAGTAAGAATATTTTACTAAGTAGAAGTTGTTTTCTAATTTCTTCTGATTTTAGTTGCATATTGAATTTTTCCCCGAGGGTTCGATGTTCGGGGCTTAATCAAAAAGTTCTATATTTCTTGATAACGATACGTATACTAACATAGTATCTCATAATTAAATATAATAATTATATTCTTATTTGCTTCCAAGTCAAGTTTTTGCCTAGCTGTTGCTAGTGATCAAATTTTTGGTACCGTTGCAATTAAGAGTTATAAGTAAGAAAAAATTATGAATATAACTACATACATCATAAATTCATATAAAATCGGGTTCAAGCCGCATAGGAGATAAAGGAGAGGGAGAAGAGAACTCACCGAGAGTGCCAACCTTATCTTTGAGAATCGCGCGAGAGAGGTGAGAGTTTAGGGCAAGTATCGCTAGAGAGAGGATCGCATGAGAGGAGCGAACCACGAGGTCAAGACACGTGAGAGAATGAATTGTGGTGAGGTGAGGGGCATCCCCATCAACAATACACGAAGGAATGTGGTCCGCAGAGTCAAGCATGCATCTCTGTTTTCTTTGATATTTGTAAAAAGCCACAGTGCCGGAGTATCTAAACAACCCCAATTAGTGTTTCCAAGCCACATCATAACCTTGTCGCTGCCCCAAGTGGGGCCTTAATTGCTTTGTGCTCAATAGTTAAAATCACTGTTTACTTTGACTCTTACAAATTTTATTCTTATAAATAGAGTTATTTTGATCCGAAACAAATCTTGGACATATTTCCTTAAGAAAAATAAAATAAAATAACATACTCATATATCTTTATTCATATGTTAGTCTACCATATAGGGAACATTTACATACAAATCACCAAATTCTCATGCATTTACATATCTAACACATAAATTATAATTTTATATATTTATAACAATGAAATCTTTCATATCACATAAAAATATTAAAACTTTAATTTTAAAATATAAAATGCATCTATTCGCCTATATATATAT